CCCCCTCCACACCTCACAAAATGCTCCCATACGACCGTGTCTGAAATAGCCTCTGCTGAGGAAGCCTTACTCACTTCTGCCTTCCCGTGGGGTGGAGGTGTTTTCCCACACCAAAGAGGGAGGACGATAAGAAGTCAGTGTACTACGTATACCCAATAACAGTTGTTTTACCTGTCTCCGATTAGGTGGTTTCTCTTGAATGCGGGTCCGCTAACGAATCAAGCAATAAATCATGTACGTGGGTTCTAGTCGGAATCGCCCGTTGTGCCCTAATTTTGTGACGTCATTATAGCCAAAACCGTTTCATATGGTGGAACCCACATACCCAATTGGGTGCTCAGCTTTACATTGAAACTCAATGGGACACTATTTATAATTAAAATTCGATAATTTAGTTAGAACTTTCCCAAAGGCCGTATTTCGAGTGCACCTTTCTAATCTCAAGACAATGGCTTCATAGAGGATTGAAATATCTTCGATACGCAAAGACTAAGTGTTGTGACCTACAGTTGACTGACACATTTGTCATGCATGTTTGTGGCCAGTTTGATCGATTGATGGACACATGCACACACTCACGAGATGCCGATTGACTCTACTACAGTATCGATCGGCTCCGGCCAATCGGATATTTGTATTGAACTATCGTCGCTGATTGATTTGCTGACTATTTGAGTGTCTACTTGACGGCATACGGATGTTGTGTAACGCTCGAGCCAGTTGTCGGTCTTCCTGGGTGTTGCCCGTTCCTGCTTCTTCAGCGGTTTATGGACCGGCTACATATGCGCTGCCTGCAATAAACATATCGCCTAATTCATTGTGTGCTTACATACCTACTTAACCTGAGACACAACACGAAGTAATAGTATTTATTTGAATTTCGCTTAAAACAAACAACAGGCAAAAATAAATCATGGAAAGAAGTGCCGAAAGTAACATAGTTTTCATCGATCCTGTTTATTTTGTCGCTAATTGATTTTTATACTACTTAAAAGCATACACTACTGACTAACATGCTATGTTGCAGTTTCTGAAATTTACTCGCTTTTTCGAATTCTCAAGGAATGCGACACAGAAGGAGATGGACTGTAGTTTTGCTATTGGGTTAATAGTAATGTTGTCAACTAAGTAAGTTAGTTCTGCAATTAAAACACTCTTGATTGGTCCACCGGCAAAAAACTGCCAGATAAAATTCTTTCTCAGATGTCGCCTATACAGCAAGATAAATCGGTGGATGCATGGTGAGTTTAGACTCAATGGGGGCGAGATTAAGTGCATAACGAATAAGATTTTCTTCAAAATTGCTAACGGAAAACTGGGTAAGAGCAAAACAGGTACACAAAGAAGCGAACAGAAAACAGGAATAAAAGAAAAGTATCTTTGTGTGGCATACATGAGGTATTGGTTTATTTGAGACAGGTAGACCAGTGGTTACGTTAGTTAAAATTAATCACCGTTTGCATTAGGTATTTGAAAATCAGAAAACCGTCCATCAATGATTGACTCCAAGAACTTGATCTACAGTTGATCTTCTGTTGGTTGTCTCACACGAACGATCGTCGTGTGTTTGAGAGTTTATGGAAGACAAATTTGCTAGCTCGTCGATTTCAGATTAGTAGTTGTAGCTGATTAGGAAAGGTATTATGTATGCCCAGTTGTCGTCAGCCGTACCGCGCTTTATTCGCTGTAGCCGCTACGGGATGGAGGAAACCGCGCGAAGTTCAACAGATGACGTGGTGACGAGGCGTGATAAAATGAACAGAACCATTAGATAGATTAGGGGTCTCTCGCCTTCCGAGTTGTCGTCCGAAAGATTCTGATTGGCTGGATACATCTAAGAATATAACAACTAACCGACAGCAGCTACCTCCACCAGGGCTATTTAACCAAACAATAACTTTACTCAAGGCTATGGTTTTTCCTCTCAGCGTTCATTTCTGTTCTATCGACCTTTCCCAAACTTTCCGCCTCAATGTTCGAAAGGCTCTTGCAACTTAGTTGGACGATTATCAAATTCAAAACTTCTGCGGTCCTCCTCCGACATGAGTTTGTTTGCGTTGTCATTCGGGGAGCGGATCTCTGCGAAATTGCTTCTTTCATATGGGTAATGGAGGATTTGATTCACTTTTAAAGATGAAATTCGTCATGTATATAGCACAAAACGTGAACTGAAAAGCTGGGAAGCACTGGACAGCTGTTTCGACCTGGTTGGGTCTCATCAGCAATGCGAATCAATCGACCAAACTGGGTCTCGAACCCGGGGTCTCACAGGTAGGACGCAAGTATGCTACCCGTTCGGCCACTGGGCAGCTGATCAGACCGTTTTGAATTTTCCACTTACACGATATAGCTCGATCCATTTTTGCGGCCTTGTTGCAGGTCACAGACCTCGCTCATTCCAGTACTAGCTTCCGGGAACTTCCCTCCTTGCTCGCTCCCCATAGGTTCTTGCGCGATAGGGATAGCGATATAACAAGCACTGCTCATGAGTCGCAATATAGTCCAGACAGCTGTTTAGCGACCTGTATTAGTAACTTTTGTAACTTATGGAGACATCCATACCTACCGTTGCACTGGGAACTAGAAGTAATTGTTCATTTTCAACACGCAAACAATTACAGAGAACTGGCAAATGTGCCTCAACATATGAACAGAAAGAGATCTATAGAATGTATTCATAGGTTGTGTGGACATGTTACTTTCCGGTTGCCCTGATCGAGGAAGAGGAATAACCTCGGGGTCCCCATCCGAATTCTTTGGCTAGAAAGCCAGACCTGCAAGACAGGACGGAACTGAGAGTCCGCAGTCCATTGGTGGGGGGGGGTCCAATTCATTGGATTACACGCCCTTTGGACGGGGCCAAACGTCCAAGGTATCCGATACGCCTTAAAGCCCAATTGAGCCGGTGACCACCACCGCAACCAGAAAGGTGTGCGTGTGGTTTGTACGTCTCTTCTTGGTTGGTTTGGAATCAAGGTTTTTAGCCAACTCCCCTATGTGAACTGCCAGTGGTTCACTGAACCAGTTATGGCCGCGGATGTTGGCTTTTGTCCTCCCACTTTGGTGTGGGAAAATATCTCCGCCACGGGAAAGCGGTAGTGAGTAGAGTTTCCTTGGCAGAGGCTATTTGAGAATCTTGGTCATATATCGGAGCACTTCGCGAGGTGTAAGGGCATACCATACTGAGGCTATTAAAAAAACGTATTTTGTATGTGGTGAAATTAGAGGAGCTTCCGGTGAGATCCACATGAAAAGAGCGACACACGCGAACAAGAACACAGAGCCCAAATTGTGGTTATCAAACGTAAGAAATAATCATAATTATACCACGCAAATACACAAAATAGCGAGTTACCTCCAGGAGCACAAGTATGGTTTGATATCTCCTCGCGTAATCCGCATAAAGTTTGAGACACGGTGCTACTATCAGAAATGCATCTTCAATGCTCATGGTAAGCACCGATTCCAGTAGCGTTTCATTTACACACAAAATGGGCGCGAGTCTGCCGAAAATTTCCGCATGCATATCCGGTGGCAATAAAAGTGAACTGCCCAGAGGTTCTGAAAAATACTTTAGCAGCCAATTGTTCAACAGGAGGAATTAGATGAAAACCTTTAATATTTTCTTCAGGTAGCTGATATATTTAATTTCTGAACTGATAAGCTCATCAAGAACGTGTCTTTTTTGTCGAATGAGACTAAGATTGTTTTCCGGGTGGCGATCAACACTTGATAAGGAGAGATTGTTTCCCTGATCTATTTCTGATACTGCATCAAAATTCATCATTCTAAAAGGAGGACGAGAAAAATGAACAAGTTCAAGGTGACGCTGGGATGAGATGATAAGCACAATTGCTCAGGTAGCAAAGAATGTATGATTTGAATTACTCGTAACTGCAATTCTAAGTGGCTTGTTAAACGGATACGACATTTATGGCATTCATGAGCATGGACATTATGAGAGAAACGCTAATGTGATGAGGATTGTCAAGTAGACTCTACAAGTACAACTGGCAATGTGGGAAATGAAATCATACAGTCAGAGTTTCGATGAATGGCGTTTTCAATCCCATTACTCCGGGTGGCTTGATACAAAATTTTCTTTATTTTTGAATCAAGCCCAACTCAGTATCACTCCTTTATGTGGTTAATCACTTTAAATTTTAGGGTTGGGTTACCGGTTTTCTATCTCATCTTTCATGCAAAATAAAAATAAACTGAATGGTTGTTCTTGATCTAGTTGCACTCTTGGAATTCACATCACGCTCTCATTTCCCTTACTGAATTTATATGCTTATTTTGCACACCTCGTTCTTCAATGTTATTCAATGTTATTTTTGACCGAAATACAAGATAGCTGTCTCGTTAGACACTACTTATCTCCCCCTCTCTATTTTTTCCCAAATCCGGTTGTTGTGCCCATATTCACCATTGTTTTGTTATTACACACGAAGTGACTTACAGCAAAAGGGGTAAACCCATAATCAACGATATACTGTAAGGGGGAGGTATGTGGGGAAACATTCAAGTAAGAATCTAGTTTTTAATTCTGTTTTGAAAAGGGTAAGATTATAAGAGCTTGGAAACACGGAAATGAGAAGAGTGTTCCACAATTTCGGTCCTCGGGAAAAAAGATTGGAAGATAGAAGTCCGACCTCTGGGGACAGAAACCTGATAAGGGTAACTGCCCGCCTGAGAACGAGATGGACGAGAGAAGGTCAATGGAAGAGGAACGGCTGAAGGGAATTCAGAAGAGCACAAACCAGAACAAAAACGAGATAAAAAGAGATAGCGAAGCAACTGCCCGGCTATGGGAAAGCAACTGCAGGTTGAAAGTTAAAGACGGTTCGAGGACAGAAAGAGCGGTATACGAAACTCTACCCCATACGTGACTGCAGTATGCGAGCATCGGGGGGATTTGAGCTTTGTATAAAAGGTGCTTGGGTGTAAAGAAACACGTTGCGCGGAATAGAAAATCAACTTGGCGCGCAGCGCGAGAAGCAAGTGTAGAAATAAAAGGGGACCAACAGAGAGAAGAATTTATGGATAAACCCAGGAGGAAGAGAGATTTTGTGGAACGCAGGGGTAGAGAATCAAAAATCAATTGAGGAGAGAAGGGGACATATTTAAGAGACTGAGACTGTTGCTTTTCCTCTACTTTCATACCTCGGATTTTCTAACCGTGGACTCTAGCTAATGTGGCTGAAACTTCGATTCCTTTCCGATGAACAGGGTTAGCCATGTGAAGTACTTGGGTGCCACACTTCTCTGGTCTTAACACACCCGAACTATTGCTCGCAAGATGGTGGCGAAGTGGTTTATCCGCTGTCACTGGCGTTCTTGGGATCCTATAGTCCGATGTTCGCCACCGTCACCCAACTTTGGTGGTAGGCAGGTTCAACACCACGCCTAACCAACTGGGGCCTTATGTGGTTCACCACCCTAAGTATAAGGGCTTAGGTTACCGGTTTCCATCATTGAACAGCAGGTC